AGAGTTTTTTCGATAGATCACACAGCAAAAGAAAGAGGAGCCAATGCAGTTCCACTTTACTTTCAACTCTTAAAATTTATAATTTCAGAATTACTGTTTGGAACATTTTCACCTTCTGCGATCTTCTCAGCGTTTTCAAACTTTAAGACTTGTTTAAGTTTTTGTTTTCTATGTTTTAGAATAACTCTATAAAGTCACACAAATACCTGTCGTCGATGAAAAGAGCTACGACAGCCATCATTACAAGAACTGCGACCCAAAACTTGTTCATCTTAAACTTCTTCTAGCGTGCAAATTCTCCTTGTCAGTAGCTTCAAACTCTGATACATCTGTTTGTTCGGACGAGGTATTTATACCATGCGGGTCCATTTTAATGTCCAAACTGCTAATGAATTGGTGGCATCCATTCTGTATACTCACTGATTACTGCTTGTTTCTCAGTCGCCCTATCGCCGCTGTAAGAAACTGCGAGCACATTGCGTTGCACTTGTGAAATTTGTAGGAGACAAAGGGGGGACGAACAAGCCAGTAAATATGTGTTGATGTTAAAGATCAGTGGAGGTGAAGGCCTTTTAAAAAATTGAAATCAGCTTTTTATTGGCTTATCGTTCTTTTGGGCAGAACTTGTTAAACTCCAGCAGGTGGTCAAGATTCACAATGTCATCTTAACGATAGCTTGATACTTCTGTTACAACTAAACATGCATGTTCATTGACGAAATATGTGGATTACTGAACTCAACTAATTATAAGTGTCAATTTCATTGCGATCGTTCCTTCTGTAACTTGCATCTCTCATTGTTAGAATGCCGATTTGTTGACAAAGTTGAAAACAAAGAGAGAACCTCGATAAGAAATAATTTTTAAAAAATAGTACTTAAATATAAAATTAAAACAAAAACACGAAATTTAATGCTTACTAAAACATTACTTCAACTCTGCGTGCCCACTGATAGTTATTTCATTTCATATCTTTTGGAATTATTTGAAAACCATTAACGATCAGGTGAGATCTATTTTACCAGCAAACTCACTGCTTATTGCTTGCTGTTCAGTCACCTGGTAGCAGTGGCAGGAAACAACGCACATTATACTGGACTTGTGAAATCTGAAACAGGTGCTTCTGGGGTGAGATTAGATTGATTACCTTCTGAAAATGTCATAGAGGGCGTCATAGTGGAACTACTCTGTAGAAAATACAAAAGGAGTATATGATATCTTATTGCTCCAATGTAGTACGTTAGATATTTTTAAAACCAGGTTGGAAGCATCCCAAGCCTAACATCGAGCTGATACATCTTCCCTATCTTTTTCGGCCTCTTGGTGGAGGGAAAGTGTTTTTGAAAAATGAAAATCAGTTCTTGATTGACTTGTTGTGTTTTTAGGCAGAACTTGTTAAATTCCGACAGGTGTTCAAGCGTCACAATATCATCTTGACTGTGACTTGATCCTTTCAGTTGCAGCTGAACATTTTCATTCCCGTTGTATGTGAATTACTCAGCGCGGCTAATTCTAAGTGTCAACCTTATTCCGAACGTTTCTTTCTGTATATACATCTCTCCTTGTAAAGTACCGATTTATCAACAAAGTTCGAGGCAAAGAGAGAAACTCGATAAAAGAGAATGGGAAAAAAAACTGAGAACCTTAAAGAAAAATAAATAAAGCA